ATTCGTCGGACCAGCGAACTCACCGGGCCGCGCGGATCATTCAAGGCCAACAGTCAATTTATCTCCGACGGTTTATACGCGTCATTTTTCATTAACTCTGACCAGCACCAGCTCCGTAAAGGGCCACGAAACGGGCAACACGATCGCGTTCCCGAGGGCAATGGATGCTGGTTTTATGGAAATTAGCGGAGGGCCAAGGAAAACGATGGCCGACTGAAGGAGAGAGGAAGAGAGAGGCTTTGGACTTTGTCGGTTCTCCTACTCTCTTCCTCCTCCGATCGTGTGTGGACGTTAGTGGAAATCCACGGTGAAAGGGAGTAAACTGAGTAAAGTTGATCGAATTTTCTTCGAAGAAGAAAAATTAGAGCGGTGGAAGATGTATAACACGTTTCATAACATAATTTAAGAGATGATACGATATTGCTCAGTTTCTCAAGCCTGTCTACGAGATGTAGAAAATTACTATTAACTGTCAACTGTTGCAGCACTTGCGCGAAAGATGATGACAATGATCACTAAAAATAATTGGTCGCTGGACAAGGAAGATTACTATTATGAAATTGAAAGAAACACACATTCTCTATATATTTTCGACAATGTACCGCGTATCGTACAAGAGCAGAAGCTAGATACAACGATACGAAGAGACACTATCTTACTTTTCGAGAAGAAAAAAAGCAGAGAACGTAGCAGTTCGTTTCGACAGGCGGATTTGATGTATCATAGGACGACGGTTGTGGTAAGGAGCTCGATGAGGCAGGAGCGATTGCACGCTCGGTTTGGCCGAGTTGCCGGGACCATGGGATCTCCCTCCACTTCCGAGAAAGGATCCGCGATTCAAAAAGCGCCGCCCCTGAGACGATCCCCGACGACCCGCGCGATCTTACATAATTTCGCGCGGGCCAGAGAGCGACGAGAAGATCGGCCTGGATCGCAGTCCTGGAATCGTCTGTTCCAGGAGTTCTAGGGCCGGGCTAACGATTCCAGATAGCCGGCCCCCGGTTTCCGACTGGCATCTCTCTTCGCAGGCCCCCTGATTCTTTTTAATCCGCCGTTCCAGAAATTCGTTCCTCTCCCACCCCGGCACCGGTGCACCCTTTGTTTCGAGACGCGCGTTTCCAAGGAACCGAAAAACGTTCGAGGCTTCAACGATTTATTATTTAAAGTAAAAGCAACAATTAAAGCCTCTTTGCGTTCCCATGTTTTTACATTAACGGGCGTCACGACGAACATGGAAAGTTTATTTGAACGATGAAACGATGAACCAACGAAATGAAACCTGACTTTGACTGATGGGAAATAAATTCTACTACCGTCTCGTCGTTGAGAATTTTTCGTCCCATAAAAAATTACAACATTTACAGATCACAATATTTTCGCAGTTTTTAAGTATATTTAAGTATAACCCGTAAATCATAAATTTATTGCTTCTTTATAGTTTCTATCCAGTGATATTATACCGACGAGTTGAAAAAGAAAGCGACGAATCATTGCATACGGTTTTGGTCACTCGTTACGGTCCGCAATCAGTTGCCAGCGCGGGTGGTTAATTACATCCTACAATAACTACATTAATAATCATTATCATCCTGGTCAAAAAAAAAAAAAAGAAAAGAATTAGAGACTCCACCTCTTGGTGGAGTCAGGGATGAACCGGAAAGAGTTTCGAAAACGGTCGATGGAAATAATGGACGAATCATCATCGTGGAAGGACGAAGCAGAGCGGAGCAGAGCAGAGCGCGGAAAAGGTGCAGAGGGGTGAAGAACGAGGGGCGTATATAAAAGGGAAGGGGCCCGGAGAACGTCGGGGACCACCCGAGAGAGGAGTTCGAGACTGGTTGGGAACCGGCGGCGCACGCCATACCTTTGGGGGGTCCCTTATCTTCCGCGTCTGGCCGGGACCATCCGGTACAGGCAAGACCTGTCCGCGGACCTTTTGCTCCCGCGAGCATTCTGCATCCTATTATCGATCAATAAACCGCGTATGGTCTTGCATAACGCAACGAACGCGACTTTCCCTCTAGGAAAATCGCGCTCGATCGCGCTGTTTGCACGTACTTATAAATATTTATGATCGCAGGCATACCGAGCGTGTAAGCAAGCGCCGAGGATTAGGAAATTATTGCAACCTTTGAAAAATGGTTATCTGATTCGAAACTTTTTCTTTTTTTTTTTTTTTTTTTTTTAGTAAATTTTTGCGTCGTTATCTTGTACACGATAATTCTTAATCGGTGGGCTTCGATCGTTGAAATTGGAAGACAACGCGTGGCATTCTCATCGATGTAGATTTAATATTACGCGTGGAAAATTTACTGTTCGCCAATGTGAATTTCACGTGTGCACGCTCGTTGTAACATTGCGCGGATAAAACTATAGGCACGAATTTACATAAATATTTGCCGAGTCTATAATTTTAGTGTAATTTCATTTGCATTTTACTGGTAATCGCCCGTATTTCTGGCGTTACGTGTAAAATATATAGACAGCGCCGTGTGCCGGTAAAATAAGTTCACCCTTAACTAGCATATTCGATACGAAAATTTTCATCTGCATTCATAAAACATCGAATTATCTCTACGTACGTGTACACATTTGTATTTATTAAATTCACATTTATACGAAATACTATAGATAAAGCTATAATTCGTGAGACGTGAATTGAAGATTAGCCAAATTCTTGTAACATCTGTTCAGAATATTTCAGCTCGCTCAGCTGGACAATTGCTAGAGGTTTTCGGCAATGGTCGTTTAAGAATTCAATTTCGCATTCACCGTGATTGAAGAAGCGAAGTTTCGCACGATGTTTCGCGAAACTTTCGCGAGAGCGTGGCACGTGACGTACGAAAATCGACGAGGACGTTGAAATAACGCCACTTTGCATAAACAAGGCACGGGCGAGGAGGACAGAAATAATAAAGAGGGATAAGAGGTAGCCAGGAGCGACGTGAACGTTCCCTCGGGACACGCGTCCACCGGAGAGGCTGGATATCGGTGGATATCGGTAAACAGAATAACGATTAGCCGGTGTATTATTTTTTTCACTGTAGTCGTCCGGGGCTTCTCGTATCGACTGTGAATAATTGGCCTCGTTAGCCGCCGCCACGCAATCAATTACGTTCCCCCCCGACCCGTAATCCCCCCTCCCCTCCCACGGATCGCCGCGGTTTATTATTGCAAACTTGATCGTTTCGAGCGTAGATACCTGTTTACCCCGGAGGAACCAATCATCCTCGTCGAATCGAAAAATCGATCGTCGAAATAACGCCGACGAGTTTCGAAAAGGGAGAAAGACAGGGAAAACGAGAAGCTCTGTCATGGCCCGCGGCTATCGAATTATAATAAAATCACGCATCCAAATTGCTAGGTTGTAAATCAGATTGGATAATGACATGTAACGCAGATGCGGATTGTTCAACGGTGGTTGAACGCGGATGTGTTTAAACGCTTGCAGAGAAATTTTTGTTAACACGGCGAGTAATCGTGCATAATTCAAGCATTATTGTGGGGAAAAAAAAATCATTCGAACGAATGTGAAAATATATGTATATACTTTGTATCATAGCATCGGGGATCACAAAGAATTAAACGTTATGTTATAGTCAGTTGCAATATTTAGCGAGACCAATTATACGTTTGAGACAATTACTCGCTAGAATTACTACTAAACGACTAAAGCTAACTAAAATTTCCATCATCAGACACATTGAAATAAAAGAAACAGAAGATCTTTATAGTACATATAGGATACGCGAGCTTTCATTCGTGTATTTCGCAAAGAATGAAATTTAAGTCTCCAGAAATATTTATCGAAACATCCAACAAAAATTACCAATTTATCATTTTGACCATTTCGACCGTTTCAGCGTTACTACTTTCACTAGTACGTTCGTAGCTTCATAAAATTCTTGCACACGTCAGTTCTAACTCTAATTTGTTTGTGTATGAACTCTCAGTACGTGCATACACAAGCTACTCTCGATGTCCTCTTGCTGACTTAAACAACCCTGTCACACTTCACCGATTCTTTCTCCCGTCAAATTTCAGAGGCATTTAGCTTCTCCCCCTCCACCCTTCCTCCCAAAACTCGTGAAAAATCGATTCTAAACATTGACGATTCGCGAAGAGGTAGGGCCAACTCTACCTCAACCTTTCTCGCGTGCTGAAAGAGGACAAAGAACAGTTGGCCGGCTGAAAGCTAAAGAGAGAGGCGTATAAAGGGAAGAACGGTAGTTGAGGAATGGTGCAGGGCTACCCGCAGAGCACGCTACTTGCTGTGGCAGCTTCACGAACGAAAGACAAAGGAGGGCCCACGCTTTCATCCGTGCCGACATTAAGGTACCTACCGTATACGCTCTTTTGGGACACAATAAGGTCCGCATGCGGGTCCAACGGATCTCACGTCTTCTACGTACGCATACGGCTTTCTTCACAATGAGAATCTGTCTCTCTCCTTCTCTCCCCCTTCTGTGCGTCTACCTTTTCTTCCCTCTTCTTCTCTAGCCGTTTCACCTCCCTGTTTTCGTCTCTCTATCCGCTCCATCGCCGTTTCGTTTGCTGTCCTCCATTCGTTCGCCCTTCCTCCCTCGCCCTTTTCGATTTTCTCTCTACGCTTTTGTGTCTTCCTTTCCTCTGTCGCGATTTGGTCTGCCTTTTTCTCTTTGCCGTTTTGTTAACGTCTTCCGAAAAGCATCTTCCGTGTACTTGGTGGTTTCGGAGTGCTCGCGGATTAGTTTGTGTCGCGTTTCATTTTTTTAACAACAACGCAGAAAGAGAAATAGGGATGGATGGTCACTTACAAATAGTAGTAAATAAGTATCTAGGCAATTATACATTTCTGTTCAACTTGGAGTAACATAGATGTTCCTGCCAGTTTCAAAGATTATCCGATCACAATTAACGTATTTTATACTCAAGAGACTGCTTAGAGCTTGAAAAGAGGTTAAAATGATAAAAGACACTAAACTGTATTCATGCTTGACCACGAGAGCTTATTTGTCACTGAATTTGAAACTCGTTATTTGAATCAATGATGCAATAAAGACGAGCGATATTAACTTAGAATTAGAGATTTAACTTTGAGAGAAGACTAAAATGGGATTCGTTTTAAGATTGGATATCATCTACCGGGCGGAGCCATTAAAATTTCACGAGCCACCAGTTGAAACCCCGCAAAAATTTACCTTTTCCCTCTATGCGGCCCTTTAAAGCATTTGCCCTCTGCGTCTCTCTCTCTCTCTCTCTCTCTCTCTCTCTCTCTCTCTCTCTTTCCTTTTTTCGGAAAAATTCTCTCAGAAAGACGACTCCATCAAGAAACGCGACCTCGTGAAAAATGTTACGTAACTTGAAAACCAACCGGCGAAAAACATTTTCGCTGCCAGTGAAATACCCCATTTCAAAGGTAACAGTTTTTAGTTTTTAGTTTTTAGATTTCAACGTCAACGTTTCTGTAACCCGGCCGGTTCCATTAGCAACTCTTGTTCAAGATGTCTAAATTTTAATAGATAAAACCTCAAGGGAGCAAATCGCTTTTCCTTTGCCAGGTACAGGCCCGTCGGCGTCCCGTTTCCTTCTTTTTCTCGCCAACTTCAAATATTCCACCACGATCCTCCAAATTAAATATCGTAATTAACCGAGATGTATCCCACAAAAGTTTCGCTGGCTGTTAGAGCGTTTGTTCAACTTCTCGTGAATCGCGCGAAAAGCGCAGATACTTTGAAACTTGCGGATTGGATAAATAATCGAACTGATTAACTCGCTGACGAAGACGACCCTTAATATTGTGCTCGAGGAATATTGTCATTAAGGAAGGATATGAAATTATTAAAATGTATTTCCTTTTTCAGATCTAACGCGAGAAGATTGAAGTATCATCTCCTCGACTTTCAAATGAAAAATGAAGAAAATATCGCGGAGTTTCTACGTGAAATTCTTCGACGAGGTACGAATTTCATACAACTTGGCAAAATCCTTCGTGCAAGTTTCCCGAAATATTCCAAAATTTCATAGAAATGCTGAAACTTGCTCGAAAATCTCACGAAAAAGATTCAGCCCCGTCGGAATGTCAGAAATTCGAGGAAAATCTCGAAAACTGCGAAGGGACCACTCTCCTGCAGTCGGTGGCTGAGAGGGAGAAAAACGTCGAATAAGGATCAGGAAAATCAATTCAGACAACGGCATATAAACAGATATTCGTGCAGCCCGAGGAGACCCGGTTGAGTGCGGCGGAGCGATTATGTTCGTTTTCTGGGAACGATGCTCGACGATGGTACCACGGTTGGTACCTTCCGTCGCAACAAAAGCCACGGGAGGACCCGGCCCGCGGGGTTATTAATGTCAGAACGTCACAGAAGAGCGTATTCCGCGCGCGCGCGCGCGCGGCCGAGTTGCATGCTGAGGCGCAAAGACGATTCACGGGGTCGGCATCGCTCGAGACACAATATATAATTCCCCGTTTGCCGATAATTATTGCGACTCGGCAACTTTCATACAATGGCCCCCTTGCCCTCTCACTCTACCCTAGTCTACAGACCAGAGCCTTCCCCGTACTCTCGTTCGTACATAGTACATGGATGAAGTCAGGACGAACCCGCGTAATAAAGTAACATTAGCCGGCATGCGATTCCGCGATAAACTTTCGAAATTTATACCCCACCGAGACTTCTCACGATCCATCCCCTTCCTTCCTGTGTCTCCTCTCTTTCTCTCTCTCGTGGACAGAAATATCGTTGCTTCGCTGTTTATACGGTTAAGAGACAATTTCGACGGGCAGATTCTTCGATAATAGCGAGGGAACGCGAGTTTCAACGATTGACTGATTAATGTGGGTTGCGTTCACGGGATGGTAAATCATCGGTTGTGGCATAGGTAAGTACTGGAGCGAGGCTGGTTGAATTTTTGAAACGGGCATTTTGAGGGGTACATTGTTTTTTTTTAGAGTTTCGCGAGCAGAAGGTTGTTTAATTGTGAATCTGTAGGCAAATTTGTCATTAATTCTCGATTACGAATAAAGAGGTTGAGACGAAGAGGGCTTTGGCAAAGATTCAATTTAGCTACTAAACTCTAACTCCGACACAATTGGGGAAAATGGATTTATTTACGAGATTACTGATTTGTCTTTCTTTCTTTTTTTTTTTTTTTAGAGAAGAAGGATGATGCCACGCGATGGAAATTAAAACTTTTCGGTAGTTTCTGGTCATCGCCAGATAACTGTCATTTTTGTAACTATCTATTTGAACCTTATTAAATTATAATATCACATTGAATTAATATATAAAATTATACATTGTTACAATGAATTATATAATGTATGAAAAATTAGCTGCAACAGAGAGACAAATCTAAAGATTGTGCACGTAATTATTAAAAATCGAAATTCTTCCATGCTTCGCGCAAATCTCCACCAAGTTTGGCTCCCAAGTTTGGCCAAACTTGCTAAATAACCGCGATACGAACGAGGGATAAAAGTAGAAGCGATAAATCAGAACGCACCCTCGATGGTCATCGCGGACGTGGAGCGGGTGTATCGATTAAACCAACGTCACAGGGACAGTTTTCTAGCGTAGCGGTCGGAGGGACTAATGATTTATTTCCGTTCTCCACGGGCATACGAATCTACGGTGTTTCGGCGGCTAGCAGTACCACTCGACCTCCGTGCTGGAGCGTGACAGTGGTAGGTTTTAAAGGAGCAAGGGAATTATAACTGGAAAAAGGAGCATGTCGTGCCCTGGGCCGAGCCGCAGTGACAAGCTGTCATGACTAACGCTAATCGAGACCAGGCGATACACACACACACACCACACACACATACTTTCTCTTTCTCTCTCGTTCGCCTAATTACGAATGCATACTACAAAGCGTATCGAGTGTCGCGCGACACGAGTACTGAAATCAAAGTAGGCCGCCGGCTATCCGCACGCGCCTCGTCCAATCACGTTCCACATGGAGCACCAAGTTCTTTTTCTTTTTTCGAAATAACGAGAATTATTCAACAAGTGTGTATTTGACTTTACGAGGCTTCCCGAAGTGATCGTTCTCTCTCTCTCTCTTTTTAATAAATTGAATGGTAAAAAAAAAAAAAAATAGGAAACGTTCATTGAGTTGGAAAAGTTGGAAAGCATAGAAATGATGGTGATATTGAAAAAGATCAATCTCAGTATCGAAAATTATTTGTTCTTTGAAAATTATTATCCTCTTTGAAACGAAGAGAATCGTACATGTAAAATCAGGAAAGTAAACTTTCTTGTAGTGAAATTGACCAGTCTGTAAACTACTCTGTAAATTTTCATTAAAGATGAGTCGAAAGGGAAAAAATCGTCTGATTCGAAAATTCAGGGTTGCTCTATAACGTAATAGAACATGTTACTGCCTCTCTGATCCGTAATCTTGCTGCAATCAGAGATCGAAGATTTCGTAATTCGCGTGATTGAAACGAACGCGCAACACCTCGGCACGATTTTCCCCTAGCAACGCAATACAGCGTGGCAACACTATAGGGAAACTGCTGGCAGCAATGATACGGCTGGCATCAGAAAGGTACCAATTAATCCCAGGATTTCCTTCCTCTACACGCCGGGACACGTTCGATCCGCCAAGCGGAAAGGGGTTTCGCATGCCCGATAATTCCAGATTCACGAGGACGTTGTCACGAGAGAAGGAAGAGAAGGCGGAGGAGGAAACCCGGGGGAGGTTCCATCCGTGATTCCGGAAGCGGAACGACGTGCTTCCTGGCTTGTTCCAATTGCTCCTTCGACGTTTTCAATGGGAAAATACACGGCGTACCTTTTTTTTGCTTTTTTTTTTTCTACCGTGGATGAACGAAAATTCAACTCGTCGTTAAAATGCAGAATTTTGTCGTCGACTTTCCGTAGGAATTAAGCGACGGCGTATTTTACTGACTTTAATCGACTAGTTTTTTTCATCAGAAACTGCGGATAATTAAATTTGTACGAGAGAAATTAAAATTAGAAATGCACGCAAGAATGTGGACAATGGAGATAATAAAACTCCAACTTGTACATTTTATAAAAGTCATCCAAATTCCTAAAGCGCAACAGTAGAAACTTCTAAATTCCGTGAGTAATTTTTTCAATTTCTATTTCCGGTAAATCGTGAATTTGTGATTTTTAATTATCTATTCTAGAATCAACAATTTATCAATCTTAATTCACTTAATTAATCTCGATTAACAGATAATTCTCGTCAATTATCGTTTTTAGTTACATTTTTTACCATTTTATCATATCCGGTAAATTGTTCGAGTTCCCAAGAAGTTTCTACGCAATTGGATGACAGAATTCACGAATGGAACGAGAAGAAGAGGCGACGTCATAGTCTCCGTTTGGTATCCAGTGGAATATTAAGATCAGCAGCTACGATACGTAACCCCCTGAAGAGTTTCTGAATCATCGGGCCCAACTTTGCCACCCCCGAGGAATTGTCAGAAAGACAATGGCCCGTCCAAAGTCGCGACTCTCTCTCTCTCTCTCGTCAGATAAGAAATGACGCGATTGTCGATAGGGAACACTCATTTTTCCTCTCCTCGAACCGTAGAAGAAACATCAGATAAAACGTTCACGAATCCGAGATTGTCCTTTTCGACGATCAATTTCAGATACAACTCTCCCGTCATATGTATTCCGTGGAAAACCACGCCAACGATCACTTTTATTAATCCCAGGGATTGCACATCGTTGTGAAATATCACGTAAGCGCGGAATAATCGTAATGCAAACGAGCGTTTTCAAGTCGTTTTTGTGTAACGAATCAGTGAACTGTGAATGTTTGTATGCAAATTTTTAAGTGGTACATGCACGTATCAAAATTTATATTTTCACTCTTTCTTTTCTTTCCTATATTTTTACGATACATACAGATTTCGTTCGGGGTCTCTCTATACGAGTGTTCGATAAATCTCACGTTATAATATCACATTAATCGTAAAACACAGACACAGTACGTACACGCTTTGTTCATTTTTGTTCATCTGAGTTTCCCACGACGAGCATCCCGCCGTCCACAAATTACAGAGGAAACTTGTGTCGTTACATTCGAAATTGGCGAGAACGAGCTTCGCGATGAACGAAAGTTCGAAGGGATCGTTAGAAATTCCAAATCCACGTAATTTTTCGTTAGCTCGAATATACCTCTAATTTAGCAACGGTATCATTTCGTATCCTTAAATCAACCCCCTAACGATAGTCCCCATCGCCAGAGAAAACTACCGCGACAAAGTGGCCAGGCTATTATGCAAATGCGACATAATAACCGAAAGGTAAGACGCAGTGACGAAATTACGCGTGGCCTCGCGTCCTCTCGCGAACTGGTACCGATAACCACCAGGCGCGCGCTTTTCACGATCGCGAGTTTTTCAACCTCGAATTCTAATTGTTTAGGAATTGCGCGAATCGCGGCCAATTAGCGGCATGCACCCGGCCCCCGAGGACAAGCACGGAATCCGGCGTACGTAAGGGCTAACCGAAACGGTCGAATAATTTAAATTAATAGGACGGGTTGATAGCCGGTTCAACCCGTCCTCCACCGCAAAACTTCTTCAACGTTCTCCTTCTCGTGCTGCTAAAGTCCTTGATTACACGCTTCATACTTTCCACCACTGTCACGTGAATTCCTTCTTCGGGCGATTTTAAATTCTTTTTTCTTTTATTATTATTATTTTTTACTGTGCCACGGGGATGATTCTTTTATTAGAGTTAATGATTGGCGTGGAAGACTGATCTTTTAAATCCTTTTGTATTGAGAATCGAACAGGATTTAAGCTCGTCACTAATTTTTTTACTTGGCTTCTGATTCTACGCCGGGGATTCTTTGTTTTATCCGGGTAAATGAGTGGCATGGAAAATTGATCCTTTTGCTTTTTGTAGCAAAATGAGATGGCTTGAAGTTTCCTCTGATTCGATAATTTGAAAAATGGAAAATTGAATTTCTTTGTCTATCTATCTTTAAATCTACCTCTCTAAATGTCTCGACTATTAATAAAATATCATACAAATATTGTAGACTATGGTTTCTATCCTACAGTGCCAAACTCGAGCTCCAAATTTTTAACTTTCTATAGTCTAACCAATAAATAAAATCTTGGTATTGGATATATATACCTGAATGTATGAAAATCAATGTCAGAGTGTATGCAAGTACTCACCAAATCTTTCCATGAAAATCATCGCTGCATCAGACACACTGTATAATGAAGATCACAGGACAAAGACATGACTCTATATACCAACCAAGACTAAATTATAATACTTTTAATAATTACTAACACGAATTCATCGACATGTTTTGCTTATTATGTTTATTTCGATGATTCAGAAATAATTGGACTAAATTTTTATCTTCTCATCTAATGAATAATACTAAAATTAGTGAACTGACATATTTCATTAAGTATTTCTCATATCTTTTTCCTGTACTCTTCATATTTATCCTAAATAAATGGTTAATTTTCTTCGCTTTTCCGGACACGATAGTCGTTCTATGACAGAAGCAGGTTCCCGAAAAGTTCGCAGACTCGAGCAACAAACCAATTTAAATGACAAAGACGTGGCACGATGACGTGGTAACATTTTGCACATTTCACGAGACGATGCACATTGTTGTTACAATAACGCGTTAAGAAATTGTCTACTAAAACTTTTTAAACTTTTGGCGAAACTCGGGGAAATTTTAACAAAATGAACTAGACACTGTGTTTTAATCTCGAAAAGTTTCTCGACAGTCGCAAACCTGTCGCCGTAGAATGAAGCGATTAAACGCGATGCTAATTTAACAACTAATTATCACGAGAATAACAAAAAAATGAAATAGAAAGTTTAGCGATTAAAAAAAAAAAAAAATATCACACGAATGAATAACTTTAATTTATGAGAGAATTTGGATTTTGATAATTTGGACGAATGTTTTCAAACACCGGGACAGTGTTGTAATTTGTAATTGTTTAATCAATTTCTTAAACTCACCAACATGATGATCATGCCATGCTAGGGCACCACAAAGAAGAGCCAAAGTCTTTCCACTTCCTGTTGGACTCTCCAAAAGACAATTCTCCTCTTTCATACAGCCTTGTATGACCTAAAAAATACAATTATTACTTATTATTAACAAATCATTTTCCCAATTTCCTATTTCTTAAATTAGTCATTTCAATAAGAAAGATTCTTACCTTGTGCATTACAGCAACCTGACTTGAATAAGGTTTCACAGGAAGCCTCACATTTATCCCAGCTATCAGTTGTTTGTGCTCTATTGCCACTTGAGCCACAGTTTCTTCTACTTTTCTGTTTGCCTCTACTTTAATTTCAGTTTCTACAGTTTCAGCATTATTTTTTTGCTTTTTTCTTTCATGAGACTCCGTCGATTCAAAATCACTAGAAGAATCAGAATCACTGCAATTATACTTATTTTTGAGATAATTTAAAGCTTCCTTTATTTTCCAATAAGGCTCTGTGGTCTTGTGCTTTACATTTGTATCATATGGATCAATATCTTCATCTGATTTTATGCAATGTGTGTATTTTTCAAACTTGGGCATTGTTTCTTCGTCATAGCTTATGTCAGATATTAATGATTCTGAAGATATTGAAGAGTCAGTTTCTACTAATTCATAAATTGGTAAATCATTGTTTTTATCAGTGGGTACTTCACCGGTACTTGTTCCAGGCGAACATTCATGCGTCGAATTACGCCTTTTTAATGACAATCTACTCATTCTGTAAATATAATCATGCACATTAAGTTAGAATCATCTAACAAAGAATTCACAAATATTTGAATATGTAACAGTCATATGATATTTTACTTTCAAGTAAAAATATCATATGACTGTTACTATACAATATATACAACATGTGATTAAATTTTAAGAATTGTTTTAACATTTACTGCATCACTGTGCGGTTTTTTATGGAAATTCATAAGCCGTTATGCAAAATAAACGCAGAAATATGGGGCAGAAATAAACGCAAAAAGAATAGAGCAACAGGCCAATATAACCTCAAAAAGTCATGCAGTATCACGTGTACGGTAACGAACCTTGTTTCTTTAAGCCACTCTTCGATCTTTAATTTGGCTCCTCTGTAAATGAATACGATCACTGCGCAAATTATATAAATCACAACCATAAATTCACGATCACGTGAAGAATTAAAACAACAAGAAACAGCTGATTCACAAAATGTGCGTCACACACGTTTCCCGCCTTTTCGTGTCGCGCGAAATCACCTGAACTTACATCGAGCGCGACATTTAAATTCCATTTCCACGAAAATTCAAAAATAGTCGAATTAATCGTGAAAATTAAAAATTCATTTAAATTTAACGCAGAAATAGAACGTTAGAAGCACACTCGTGTCACTTGTCGAACAGTCACGTGACTGACATGTCACGTGCACGATATATGAATAGCTCATATTAAGGGGTAATCTTACAGTTAATCGTTAAAACAAAATTAAATATTACTAAAAATATACAATTTATAGAAAAAAGTTACTTGGAAACGTAATTTTTCCCGTGTAATCGTTAACACGGTTCCAGGCGAACATTCACAGATACATAATATCCAATGAAAAAAGTCTTTTGTTGTTACATTGCTCTGCCACCATTTTTGCCTCTGAAATTCAAATATTACGTAAACACTGCTCGCAATGTTTCTCCAAAAAAAAAAAAAAAAAGAAAAAAACACTTAAATTTAAACTAGAGACACAGTATATCTCGTGCCATCGTTCTCTTTCGTATAAAAAAATCTGCCATCAATTTCTCGACGGTTCATCGCATCTCTGATCCGGCGTCGACGCATTTATACGAGACATTATTCCACACAGATCCCGCCACGGAAACATAACTTCTGAAGCGAACAGGATTAGACAGGTGAAACGTGTAGTCTCTCTGAGACTTGATTCCGATGTTGTTCGGCGACCTTCATAAAGAAGATACATCCTGGCAAAGAGACGCGGGCCAGGAGGAGAAAAAAAAAAAAAAGGCCAAAGGGAATATAATTTCTGCGTGTGATTTATGCCTCCCGGCTGGTCCAACGTATCAAACTTCTGATTTACGTGGCTGTTGTGCCCCGTAGTTTTCGAAAGCGGCCCCCATCAAAGGGGGCCACGGAATTTAAAAGCCATCCGGCGCGCGTGCGACTTGAATAAGGAATTTCACTCTGACCATGGAGGAGAGAAGCATCCCAAGCTGACATGAATCCTTATCAAATTATCCGAAATTCCCACGCGCGGCTGGATACGCGTATTTTCATGTGTATGTACGTACGACGGTTCACGAAGAAGGTATTTGTATACCGTGACGTTTTAAAACTGAGTCCTGAAACTTTCGTAGAATAATCAAACTATTATCAGACACCGATAGTCTTGAAACGACAATGACGAAGTCAGTAACTCGCGAGAGAACGAGGAAATATCGTACGTTTTACGATACGTTTGGCGAGAGGAAGAGATATCCAAATATTTTTCAAAAATATCCCCGTAGAATACTGCGACTGTGTTGAGGCTAATGAAATTTCAATTTCAGTTTTATATGACACGCGTAACATACGGCATGTGTTTAAATACTTTCGTGAGTCACCGACTATACACGTGAACTAAACGTGTAGGTATATGCGCATCCGTGTTTCCATATCGCCAGGAGAGGCCGTGTCACGTATATGCAATGAAATTACTCAGGCTGTAGAGAGTATTTTCAGCTCACGTGCATATGCTCGAATGATCCTCGCCGAGGAATCCTTGCGTTTTCACACGGTTATGATGTATATCTTAATGATAACACATGCATGGGAAGAATACGCCATTCTCGAAGCTCTCGATTTACCCTGCTGTCTCCGGTAAAAAAAGATTCGTTGAAGAGAAGTAAAGTGGAAATCGTGCGGAGAGTTTACGAAACGAATCAGTGGAATCAGCGGTCACATGTTGTTTATCAAAAGTAACAATAAAAGTAATTGATCTAATGGAAAACTTGGTTAATTTTATCATTATTCAGACACGAGGTATGATAATTTACTTCATTGCCACAACGAGGGTCTCAACAAACATACTTTAATTGCCAATTCAAACGTCGAACGAAAATGCAAAATTAAAAGTTCCTCATTTTATCGATAGAAAGTAGAATTGAAGATATCCGGGTTAATAATACGTAACTGTATCGAAATACGAGCCATAAACGCGTGCTGAGTGTTGAACATTTCGGTTTTTACGATCAACAGACGTGATTTACCTCTTGGTTGCCGGCGTCTGGTTGCTTCACGCTCGACGAGGGCGAACTCGTCGTGTCCGTCCACTCGGCTGTAAGTTATGCACAGCCAGTGTGATATCCATAAAATACGTCGAAGGGGCCGAGGAAGTCATTACTACAGGAAAGTGTGGCAAATTGCGTGTAACACCCCTTCCGAAAAGTCACAAAGAGTCCTCGGCCGGGTTTACGCGCCGCCAACTGTGCGACACGTCGGCGAAACCCAACTCTTTTCCCCGTTTCCCATGAAACTGTCCAATCGTAAGTGTCGAGCCACAGTTGTAATCTCCACAAAATAATTGGCCAATATAAATATCTGGCAGAAATTCATCAAGCCATTTTTCAATAATCTATTATATCACAAATCAACGAAACTCAACTTTGTTTCTACTTTTCATGAAATTGTCCAGGCATCGTAAAAATAATTGATCAATACAAAAAGATCTGTACTTGTATTTCGATGCAACACGATGGATCACGAGTAGCTACTCGCAGCAAATTTTACACAAATCTCGTCGGCCTATCCTCCCAATAAAGTAATCGATCAATACAAATATCAAAGAAACACGCACGACACACAGTTCTAATGCAACACGTTGAATGGAAAAGAGGGTTACGCCCGCCGCAAATTTTACACAAATTTTCCAATTCGCCGGCCTGTTTTTCAACAACACCGGCCGCCGAACAAACGCGCCCATGGTAAATAATGTCGGTGCTGTAATAACAATCTCGGGAGGTACTCCGACGAATTACCACGAGTATCGTTCACAGTGTTCAATTAATCAAGCGAAACACGGGGATGAGGGTTGTCGCGTGATCCCGCCGAATGATCTGGGTCAGCTCAGACGTTCTCTCTCTCCATCCAGCGTCGGTGCGTACGTATCGTTCGAAACGTCGAAATATACCTCCTGGACAATAGGCCTTCGACCGAGAGATCCCTGATTTTATGGTTCGTGTAGGTGGAAAGGGGGATTCGTGAATCGAAATTACAGGGTACGGGGAGGGAAGAAAGAAAGAAAAAAAGCGAATAGAAATATGAAAGAGCGGGAAAGATCCCCATGTCGATCTCGCGTGGTATCCCGTGGTCACCCTGTGCGAATCCCGGGGAATCGGGATCTTTCCCGTGGTGGTCACGAAAACCGACCACGGGGAGAGAGAGAGAGAGAGAGAGAGAGAGAGAGAAATATGAAATATAAATAAAACATATTCTTACCAGGAGCAAGTGCAATAAAAATGCGGGAAGATCAAGAGGGATGCCGGAGGAATACGTAATACGCGCTGCTCTCTCTGGCTTTCTCTCTGGCCTTACCCTGGCCTTCCCTATCTCGTATCTCTTTCACCGTTCGCCTATACTTACTTACGCGCACTCTCCCCTCGTCGCGTTCCTTAATTTTTATTTCTCTCGCGGTGGAAACGCCGAATGGAAAGTCGAAAATCGACTTTAGAAACTTATCCCTATCTCTTGGCTTCCTGTTGGAAAGATTTCCATGGAGAGGAAGAGAGAAAGGGTTTTACAGAAGGAATGAAATCAACAGATTTGAAGAATTTCGAAGGATGAAAATGTCAAAGGATTTAAAGAAATATTAGACACGAAGTATCAATGTTAGATGTTTTAAAAAATGTTCGATATTAATGGCAACGCGACAAACATTTGATTAATCAGGCATCGATTAAAAAACACCGTCTTCTTCTCCTGTCGAATATTTCGTTCTAAACCAAACTCTTCTCATACAATGGAAAACGAGAGAGAGGAAGAGACAATCCCATGAACGACGTAACGTCGGGACGAGCATGTATTCCCGGCAGCATCTTCGTCACTGAGGGAAGGCACGCGGCAAACAAGCCAATAAACCGAATAAACGATCGTCGAGACTTAATTAAGGAATGGCGACTGCATCCACGCCAACGTTGCCTTCATTTCGTCCGGCAGCTTTATCGTCGGTGCTTATCTATCGGCCATGAGATAAGATAAAAGGGTCAGAGTTCAGGGGGACAGGCGTGTAGATAGCCACCCCCTTTCTCTCTCTCTCTCTCTCTCTCTCTCCTCTTTCTGCTTCAAGTACAAAACTTTCGGGGGTGGAGGACACCATATGCGACCTTCTTCGTTCGCTAGAACGGTCCTGCGTTCTTTTCTACTTTCCTCTCTCTTTCTCTCTTTCTTCTTTTCTTTTACCGGGGAAAGAGAGACAGGCTTTTCCTCTTTGTTTCCTCGGTAGCTGGAGGGTCGAGAATCGAGCACGTCGTGTCCAGGAGAACGGCCGAAAGTAAAATAAAAGAATCATGCTGGCTGGGGACCGGGGGGAAACTGTCCATGTGCCAGCTCCTGCCGGATGCATATGTTTTGTCCCCGATTGCATGCTTTTCTCCGGAACTTCTTAAAGTCGAAGACCCCTTCGAATTTTTATCCTCGATTTTTCCACGATTGAAGGCGAGGAGTGTAAAATTGCTCGAAGCGGAGTGCTTGGATTTTGGAGAAGTAAAATGCAAAACTGGGAAGTGACTCCTGGCTTGATAAAGTTCGAACGTGACGTGTTTCAGGACGCATGGTGTCCGAAAATGTCAAACGTTGGGATACTCGCCTCTCTGTTCCACTCTTTCGAAGATTGAACAAACCATTGCAATGAAGACGCCTGTCGGTACCTTGATCTGTTCGGTCTTTGAATAAATATAATTTTACGTGATCTCTAAGTTTGACGTGTCATCATAAAGTTCCAAAATGAAAGTTCTCGGTGCCCTAAAATACGTAAAACGTTGAAGAAATAAGTTTCGGTAAGAACGGTCTCGTGAAATCTCGAGACGCTGTTCTAAGATTTCAGAAACAGCTTCCAAACGTTAAAAAAGAAAGTAAAGGAAGGAACAGTTTCGAAGACGGGGGAATCAACGTGTGCAAAATTCGATTTCGCAGAAATTTTCAATTTGTTCGTCCTCGGTGACGCATGGTAGCTGGAAAAATTCCATGGAAGCGTCGGCAGAGGAGGTGAAAGGGGTGGAAGGAAAGGGCAGACTGGAAGGAACATGAGGGACAATAACTTTTCGACGGGGGCAGCCGAGGGACATCGATCAGATGCGATCACGGTGGAATTAGCCGTCCCTTGCAGGACTCTGGAACTCCTTCCACCCATCCCCTCTG